GCCCGCCGCCGGCGCTCCGCCCGCGGCGCGCACCGCCCGCACGACCCTGCGTTGGCGCCGCTCCCGCGCCGATGCTTGCTGCGACGCCGCCTCTAAGTCATCCCTCACCAACTCGCTGAAGGAGCCCTTATGGGCGGCTCGCAGCACGCACAGCACCATCGCCGCCGCGCCGCCCAGGCACGGCCTGCCGTCCGGTTCGAACCCGCCGCTCGCGGCGCAGGCGTTCGCTGCGCCCCGCACGTCCTCGCCACCGCCGCACGCGTCGAGGATCCGCTGCGCCGCGGCCGCCGCGCCTGGCGCGTGCGCGAGCACTTGGCGCTCCCGACCGGCCGACGCCGCCGTCGACAAGACGGTGAGCGCCATCACTAACATGCCCGGCAGCTCGTCGGTATCCCCGCCGCCCGCGTCCTGCTCGACCCAAGGCGCGCCTGCCGAGAGCAGGGCGGCGAGCGCAGATAAAAGCTCGTGGCACGCCGCGATCAGGGGCCCCGCTGCCGACACCATACCCGGGCTCCCGCCGCCGCGCTCCCCGCAGAAGCTGGCGACCGTGCGCAGAGCGAGGCTCGCCAGCCGGACCGTCGCCGCAGGCGCGCCCGGCGCGTCGGCGGTGGCGGCGGCGGCGGCGCCGCCGTCGCGGCCGCTCTGAGGCCCGCATAACTCGTCCGCGCAGCGAAGGAGGACTTGCGAAAGGCCAGAAAGCACGCCCCCGCGCTGCTGCATCACCGCTGCGCGGCGGGGCCAGGGCACCCAGGTGGTCACGACCCAGACGGCCGCGGCGGCCGCGCACGAGTCGGGCCCGCCCGCCCAGCTGGTGTCGTGGGGTCCGTCCTCCGCCACAAACGCGCAGAGCGCCTCGAAGGCGCCGGGTTCGCGCGCGATCAGCTGAAGCGCGGGGGCATCTGTCGCGGCGCACCCCGCGGCGGCGGCGAGGGCGCGGCGCGCCCAGCGGCGCGTCCGCTCGTCGGGGTCGCCCGAGAGATGGACCAGGTGCGTCAAGACGCCGGGGCGGCCGAGAATCTGCGGGTTAGGCCAGGCGCGGCGGACAGGAGGGTCGCATGCGGCGTGCGGCGGCCGCTGTTTGCGCCCGAAGCGCGCCGCCCTTAGGCAACGCTGGCCTGTGGGGACGCTGGTATTGCTGCCGCGTGGCAGAAAGCGGGTCCCAGGAGGCGGCCTGCTGGCCGCGCACCTGTTGCAGACGGCGGGGGCTGGTTTTGACCGCGGCGGCGACGGCCGCGGCCGCGGCGCACGCCGCGCCGCCGCCTGTGGAGAGCATCTGCTGGAGCGCCTCGAGCGCGGCGCGAGACAGCGGGCCCCCGTTGGCGCTGGCGGATTCGAATATTTCATCCGCATCCACGGCTGCGAAGCACATTGGGGACCCTGCAAAGTGCTGCTCGAGGGCGGCGAGGCGGAGCACGACGTCCGACACGCTGGGTGCCATGCCGCCGGGCAACGCTGGCCGCGGCTCGAGCTGCGCAGCACAGCTGCTGATAGCTGTCAGCGGCGGCGCCGTGCGCTGACCCAACAAGCTCCCGTTCTCACTGAATAATATGTGATTAACAGTGTCCCAAACCTCTGCGTTCACGGTGAGATACTTGCGTACAGCACGACGCGCGGCTAGATCATAGATCTGATCCTGTGACAGTGTTCGCAAATACAGGAGTGTTGCACGGAGGAATTTATGACTATCAATCAGGGAAGCCGGCTTTGCAGAATATAGTTTGGCGCGGAGTCAGCTGCCTGGTCCTGACGGCGTTCCCCAGGGTGGCGCTGTGCCGCCCGCCCGCCAGGGTGGTGCTGTGCCTTCGCAGCAGCATGCAGCCATCCTGAAGCGGAGCAGCAGCGATCTGCCGTGAGATCTTCAGTCAAAACCGCGCAAGCCAGCCTGCCATGGGCTTCGTGCGCGCCGCGTCGCCCGAGGCGCCGCCAAATGACGGCGGCGGCGAGGGGCCGCATGCGGGCCTGGCGGCCGTCCAGGTGTTCGCCCCGAAACGGCAGACCGATGGCGCCGCGGCGGCCGCGCCGCCGCGCAGCACCGCGCTCGTCGACAGGCTGCTGCAGAGAGCAGAGGAGCGCAAGCAAAAGCGCGGCGCGGCCGGGTGCGCCCCGCACCTTCATCAACCACGCGCCGCCCCTTCACATGCGTGCTCACACGCCCTGTGCCGCTGGCTGCATGGCCGCTGAACGCGTCCGCCCCCTCCCCCGCAGCCTGGATTAGGCGCCGGCTCGATTATCTTCTGCATCTGTGCCTGGGCCATGCGCCATGCCCTCACCCCCCAATTAACACCTGCCCTGCTCCACTCCCCTGCACACCCTTTTCGCCTCCCCATGAGTCCCCAGGCCCACGGCCCAGCTGGGCTTGAAGCGTAGCCCGTCGCCAGACGCCCCACCCACGCGCCGCCGGGCATCCCCAACATACGGACGCTACAACGCCGGCGCCGGCGGCGCCGACGGTTCCCCGGGGCCGAGCAGGAACAGGAGCAGGAGCAGGAGCAGGAGCAGGAGCAGGAGCAGGAGCAGGAGCAGGAGCAGGAGCAGGAGCCGCTCTCGCAGCCGCGGGCGCGGCAGCGGGCATCGAGGGAGCCCGAGCAGGAGCCGGAGCAGGAGCAAATGCAGGAGCAGGAGCAGGAGACGGCGTCGCAGCGGGGGCTTGACAAGGGGCAGCAGAAGCAGGAGCAGGAGCAGGAGCAGGAGCAGGAGCAGGAGCAAGGACAGGAGTAGGGGCAGGGACAGGGGCGCAAAAGCAGATTCGGCCGAAGAAAAGCGGCGCGGGCGCAGCGGGAGCCGGGGGCGCAGCGATCACAGGAAGGCCAGCCGCAGCAGGGACAGCCGCGGCGACCGGCGCCGCCGCAGCAAGCGGCAGGGCGAAAGCAGGGAACGCCATCGCAGGCGCAGCAGGAGCAGGGGCAGGGGGAGGGACAGGCACCGCGGCGATAGCAGCAGCCGCAGCCGCGGCACCAGCGGCGGCGACCGGCGCCGCCGGCACAGCGAACGACGCAGCAGGAGCAGGGGCAGGCGGGACGGCGGGCGCAGCCGCCGGAGCGGCAGCCGCAGCCGCAGCGGCAGCAGAGGCGGCGGCGGCCGCAGGCGCAGTCCACGGAGAAGCAGGAGCGTGGAGGCGCATGGGCGTCGTAGCCTGGGGCGCAACGGCGGCGGCAGCGGCAGCGCACGGGCAGCTGCAGGGTACCCAGATGCGGCACCGCCTCTGCGCCTGCCTTTCAAAGCTGGGCTGGGA